GTATTCTTGATTTCAAACATTGGACCATTGGCTGGGTACACTCACAAAGGTTTCGCTGGCATCGTCATTGAGAGGCGCCATCGTGAGCACAGAGTTACAACTTATCAAAATGACAAGAGTGAAGAGTCGGCGATAATTTCGCGTATTTCTTGAGTAGACTTGGAGATTCAACGAATACATCAAAAATATGCTTGGACCCAGGATAACTGTTCAACAACAGGAAGGAATATCACCAAGGAACGGCTCATGAGGTACAAAGGAAAGTCAGGAAAAGGCGACTGCCCTGAGAGGAATCAGACGTAGAATTGGTCAAAAATAAACCCAGGGGGTTAACCTGTGAGGTGTAGGATATGAAAGTAAAGGCTAAAGGTATAGGTGGGCTAGATAGAGATCACTAGTGTGTGTGAGTGAGTGCCTTATGCAATTTTAGTATCAACATCGAAAAGAGAGGTGACTGATGACAAACTTGACCATTGGGGATTACAACCAACACACACGCATGTGGACGTCATTACAATACTCTAGGACTAAATAGGAATTTTAACGTGTAAAATGAGATGAGTGTGCTTTTCGCGATGCAAAGGGGAAAAAGGGAAGAGGTGCATTCTCACACCAGCAGTTATGACTTATGCCAGACGCAGGGCCCCAAAGAATGAGACACAATATAGAGGGGGGGGGAAGGGAGAGGATAATTGAGTCACGGGAGAGGAAGATTTCTTGGCACTGACATGTGAATCATCTGCTCTTACTCCTCGAATATGGCGTAATCGAGGACAACTATGGAAAGTTCTTAAGTAACGAGATTTTAGATAGCCAAATAGGGATTTTGATGTTTAGCCGAGGCTAATTTGTAAGCGGGCAGGAAAAAAAGGGTGGAATCTGGTACTCTAGTGAAGATGATTACGCCTCACTTAACCCATTTGTAGCGACACACTCTTGAGTGACATTGGAGGGAAGGAAAGCGCAGAGTTGTGTGAATAAGTGGATGGGCCGTATGAATTGGGGTTGAAAGAGATGCGGCACTCGAAGGTAGAACAAAAAATAGAAGAGCGGAGTGATGCCACAACGGCTGAACAGAAAATTGGTCAAGTGGATTGTCTTCATTTGTCACTGTTAAATTGTAACTCTGTGCTCAGGATTGCGATTCTCACCGACGATGCCGACTACCATGCCGGCGAGACGTTTGGGAATGTACCCAGCCAATGGTCCAATGCTGGAAATCACGAATACTATGCTAGAAGACACGAGACTAGGTACGTTCCACCAGGTCTCCGACGAATTTGTAAAAACAAGGTCAAACCAACATTATAGAAAATATTCTGCTTGAATCGGTCGCGTTCTTTTCCTTCTCTTTCGCTTGGGTTTGTTCAAACTCCTTTTTGCAATTTACAGGCAATCATTTTCTCCTTTAAGACGGACTTTGTGATTTGATGTTCCCATTTTTCATCAAGCAGGCCAGTCGTGTCATA